GAGCCAGGCCACACCTACACGATGCAGGACACTCATGAGCCAGGCCACATCAACCTGATGCAGAGCACACCTGAGCCAGGCCACACCTGAGCTAGCACACGGCACCTACCTGTGGCCACACAGTGTGCCTGAGTCTTGGGTGCAGCTGGTACGATGCTCACTGAGCAGTGTCCTCTCCCAGAGCCCCTTTCAGTCTCAGCAGCGGCTCGGGAGAAATCACCTGATTCATAGATGTGGATGCAGGCTTTGGTCTGATTACTTGACACCTCAGTGACCCCTAGAGTGGGGTGAATAGTGTCCTCCCAAATTCCCATCTACTTAAAACCTGTGACCGTGAACTTATTTGAAAATAGGGTCTTTGCAGGTGGAATCAATTACAATGAGGTTGTACTGGCCCTAATCCTGTAACTGGTGTCCGTATAGGAGGAGGAATTTGAATACAGACACACAAAGGGGAGAAGGAGGCGGAGCCTGGAATAATGCTTCTACAGGCCAAGGACTGTCGGCGGCTACCAGAAGCTGGAAGAGATGGAAAACCTCCTCCCCTAGAGCCTTCAGAGGGAGCCTGGGCCTGCCCACGCCTTGATTTTGTACTCTGGCCTCCAGAATGACGAGAACATATGTTGTTTAAGCCCCCAGTCTGTGGTCATTCATTACAGCAGCTGCTGGGTACTTGCTCATCCGTGATGGTGTGGAGGTCACTGGCCCAGTGCAGACCAGCCCCCCACTGTCCAGACTTGCCGTGGGCTGGGGCATTTGGGGGAAGCTGGAGTCAAAGGGCAGGATCTGGGTTAACAGGAAGGGGAGGGCAGATGCTAAAGGGGACAGAGGTGGAAGGAGGAGGTGCAGTCTGGCTAAGGCCAAGCAGTGTTTTCTGAAGCGTGACAGTAACAGCCACACTTATAGTTGGGCCCAGAGTGAAAGGCCCAGAGCAACAGGGCCGTGGGGCTCCCTCAGGTGTGCTCACCCCCAGAGAGCCCTGACACCAGGGAAGTGCCGTGCATACCCGCCCAGGGCTGCAGACAGACGCACCACTGTTCCATCAGACGCTGGTCTTTATTCTCTGGAATGGAAACAGCCTGCAGCCCAAAAATGACCACGGCCAGCAAAGCACATTCTTTGAAAAGCAAAAACAAAACAAAAAATAAGTATTTGGCTCCGTAAGTTCCCGTCATAAGAAACTACTCTGAATGGTACCCAAGCTTCGTACAAGGCCTGGTGCTGGGCGTCCTCTGTGGGCTACGGCCCCAGCATGTCACCCAACACACCAGCCGAGCGCAAGGACGTCAGGTGCTTTTGAAAAATGGTATGAAATGGCACACAAGGCATTTTAAGACACTGGAGTTTGCTTCCTATGGACTTTTCTTTAAAAAAAAAAAATATAATAACTTAGTTTGCATTTTACAACATTTCCCATCAGTCAGGGAGTCCTTGGCCAGGACCTCGTGGCACGTGCCTCCATGGCTTGAGCACCAGGGAGCCCCCGATCCGAGCACTCGCTGCGGCAGCGGTGGACTCGCCCACAGTCACTCCGTACCCATCTCGCAGGGGTTCAGGCCCCTCTCCTCGGCATCCCTGTACATCCTTTGGAAGTCCTTGAAGCGTGGGGCACAGCCGAGGCGGGCCTCCCCAAAGTGCATGTGGCCGGTGAAGAGAAACTCACCACGCCCAGGCCTCACACCGCACTCCAGCAGCGTGGCAACTCGCCCCCGCCAGCCGCCGCCCTCTGGGGCGGGCCGGAAGACCCTGCTCTTCTGCCGATAAAGCCGGCTCACGTGCAGGTGGATGGTGGACTCCTGCTGCTCCGGTGCGTGGGTGACGTTCTGGATGGAGCCTCGGACGACTACGGAGGCAAGGACATGGGGTCAGTGCGGTCACCGGGGCACCTGTGCCAGGGCTGACCCTGAATTCTGCATTCCAGAAATCCCATTAAAAAGAACAATTCATGCGCATGAGGCCCTCTAGGGGGTTGTCCCTGACTTTGTCAGGGGTAAAGATATTTTTCTACAGCCACATAAGCGGGGTAAAACAGAAGACAGAAACCACATTGTGCATCAGGTTTTCAAGTCAGAACAAGACAAGTAACCACGGTTAATCCACAAGATCTGCGGCAGCTCTGTATCAAGACAAGACAGACGCGGTGGAGCTCCGAGGGGAGGAGGTGATGGGAAGGAGCTGGCAGAGCAGGCCCACACCCAGGACCCTGCCCAGCCCCCAAGCCTCGTTCTGCAGGGGTGGGGGCGCCCAGAGCCGGGTCCAGCTGGGCTGGCTTCCTGTCCGGCACCAGCATCCAGCAGACTGCTTCCATCCCCCGCCTGAGGGTTTGTGCCAAGGTCACATGCACGCAGCAGAGTCCCCGACCTCAGCCCCAGGTCCCCTGGGCTCTCTGGACCCCCAGGGCCAGGAACTCCTGCTATCGTATCCACAGGGCGCCCAGAGGAGAGCAGGGCTCTGAAGTGAGGCTAGCATCCCTGTTTGGAGGAAACTGCTCCGTGACCACCTCTAGTAGGATTCCTGACCCTCTCCCTGCCTTACAGGCAGGTCCCTCCCCTGGGTAGACAGACGTCACTCTACTGCACAGAAAAAAAGCATTTTCCTGTTACTACGACTGTCCTCAGCAGTCTCCTCCCCAAGCTTAGTGCCAGCACGGGAAGGTCCTCCCAGGCCCAAGTGGGGCTCCCAACACGTGGTGGGAGCATGAGGACACTTACCAAAGTCGCTGGTGCAGACCGCCAACAGCACCTCTGTGTCACTGCAAGGGCAGCATGGGGCTGTGGGGACAGAACAGGGTTAGGAGCAGGGTCTGCAGGACAAAGGCCCCCGTCCATGCTCGCCAGGCCCCGTAAGAGCTCTGACCTCGGGGAGCGGGACAGGGAACCCGACCTTGGCCACGTGGGTGAGGGGCTGGCCGGTCCAGGGGATACCCCCAGCTCCAGATGTGGCTGTGAAGGGCGTGTATCCCAAGGGAGAGAGCTGGCCTTGGTGCTTGTGCCCACTTAGCTGGTCAGTGCAGCAAGCACCGGGCCTGCGTGTAAACGGCTCTCCCATGCCCATCACCCATGGGAAACCAACCTGAGCTGGTCTGAAGTGCATCCCCTACACCAGCCCAGCTGAGAGTCGCCTTCATTCCAGCCTCCACACCTGCTCCCCAAAATGTTGTGACCGCCCACTCACACATCTGCTCCCCAGGCCCCCATGTGCTGCCCCTGTGTGCTGCCCAGGGTCAGGGCACTGCCTAGAAGGACCACCAAGGCTGGTGAGGGTGCCTATGAGCATGGAGGGACGCACCTGCCTGCAGAAGCTGTGGGACTCATACCAAGGAACCACGGGCCTCAGCACAGCCCCTCCCCCAGACCCCGCCTGGCCCTCAGACCACGTCACTGCCTGCAAACACCATCCATGGCAAGCCTAGTTCACAGGAGCCCCAACCCCCCACAGCCCGGGTGCGGCTGGCTTCCTCCAGCCAAGCCAGGCCTCACCCCATGAACTTCTGCCCCAGCCCAGCCCTCACTCCGCACTTCACCCTCACTTCCTCAGACGGGGTGAAGTTCCAGAAAGACTGGGGGGGGCAGAGCCTCTGGCCCTGCCAACTCTCCCCCTAGACCACGGCACCACTCCTGACCCAGCACTGGATTTGGGAGAACACAACATTTGGCCCTCACTGCACCTTTCAAGGCCTCTGACTCTTGGATGCGGAGTCCCTAGGGTTTGGCACAAATTCTCCCAGCTCAGGGAAAGGTTAGGTATGAGGTCTTGCTGGAACAAGACCTTTCACTTTCTCAAGGCCCCAGAACATCCATGGCTTTGGCACTTGCTGGGCCTGGACAAAGCTAACCCTGTCCACACACTGACCAGTCACCCTCACAAAACCTGAACTGGGCGAGCAGTTGGGGCAGGGCCGGGCACCAAGGAGCAGGAGCTCAGAGAGGCCTTCCGGGGCCCAGGGCACGGAGCCAACAGGGTCTGTGCCACTCGGGGCAGCACAGGGTCTCTGTGGACCCGGGGGGGTGGACATGGGTTTCCGAGCACTGTTTCCGTCGTCTTGCTCTGGGCAGGGGGGGATGTTTGCGCCCCAGGCCAGCTCAGGAAGTCCTGATTCACTGGCCCTCCCACCACCTGCTGCTTCTGTCAGGTTATCGGGAACCAGGAGAAGCTGCAAGACAAGCACAGCCTGTTGGATGCGTCCCATCCAGTCCATCCAGGAGGATTGGGCACCCACCTGGCTCCAAGTTCCAAAGACTGCTGCCCACCTGTGGCACTTAGGTTCCATGTGTAGCCCCCCAGCCCCAAGGCCTTTCTTCAAAAAGAGGGTGGCCCACTGGGGGTTCCCTCCCCTGCTCATCCATCAGGGACCTCCTGCCCCCACTGGGCCTGACAGGCCACACAGGTCGGGAGTGACGAGGCAGGGCATGCAGCACTGTAGAGGGCAGCAGTCTCCAGTTCCACTCTGAGGCAGCATTTTACTTTAGCCCCTACGGCAAGGGGCATGTGGCAGAGGTGAGACCTCCCATGCTAGCCGGCACTCCCTAGCGCCCAAGGGGTCAGAGGCCCCACCCTGGGTGCCCCTGCCGGTGGGAGAAAGCGGGTCAGCAGTCAATCCCGTGGTGGCCACAGCCTGCCTGCAGGTACCCCTCCTGGAGTACTTCCCCAGGAGGGAAGAGCCACAGCAGGGTCCCTGGGGGCCAGGCCATGCAGTGCTCCAAGTGAGGGTGGGCAGGAGGCACGGGTCCACACAAGCTTCCACCCCAAAAGCTCTCCAGAAGCAATCTCAGCTTCTGAGCTGGCTGAGACAGGCCACAAAGGCGGCAGAGGGGCAGTGAGAGGCCAAGGCCACACCCTGTGTTCAGATCCCCGGCCTGGTGGTGCACAACTCACCAAGTCCAAGAGCTTCGCCCTCTCCATGGACATAGGCACTGGGACCTTGGCTGATGGCTAAGAAGAAAGGTGGCAAGGAGCCCGTCCTGTGCACCCACCCTGCTCACACCCCATGGCACCGCAGCCGTGGGGGTGCTGGAGACCCGAGGGGAGGGCGGTCAGCAGCCCGCAGAACCTCCGGCCAGAAGCCTCAGTGAGCCAATCACCACCACAGCTGAGCTAATAAAGTGCCACCCTGGAGACTCCCCTCATAATTCTGAGTTTTACAAAGCGTAGGTCACCTTCTTGGAAAATCCAGTCTGTGGACGCCAAGAGAAGCAATCTGGAAACAATTATTAATCGGAGTTGGGCTCATAAAGGCTCTGGAATGCGCCGGTTTCGGACACATTGAATCTCGTTTCCTTGCAGGGGAAGATGAGGAGGGGACAGCCAATAGGCCAGTTGGGATTATGGTTCTTGGAGAGGGGGTGGCTGAGGTACGGACATCTTAGGAAGATTACCCCGGAATGCGCATACAATGAACTGAAGAAGGAAAACACAGGCTCAGGGAGAGCAGAGGGGGCTACTGCAGGGACCCAGGTGAGGAGGTCAGGTGCAGGCGGGGAGGAAGGTGGGGGGAGGGCAGCACCCTTCACGTCAGGCCCTCGGCAGGGAGAGGTTCACAGACGGCTGCCTACCGTTCTGCCAGGCGGGACTGCCCGGGTAAGGATGACCAGGTGGATACATGCAATTTCCAAAGGGAAAACTGTGCATGAGGACACCCACCAGGGCCTTCACGGCAGCCAGTGACAGGTGAAAGGGGTCACAGCTGGAACGGGACTGGTTCTGGAGCCTCCTTGGCCTGTCACCAGACCCAGCGTCAGGCTGGTGTTGCCCCGAGGTGGCCCCATGGGCCCCGGCCCAGGTTGGTCGGCTGCCCCCAAGTCCCATCTTTTGTGCACTGGGAGCTCTCAATCTCACCAGCCTCCCCTCCTTGCCTGTTCCCCCCTCCCTCTTCCTGGTGAGGACGCAGGTGGAGGCCACACCCTTCTAGCCCAAAAGGCCAGAGATGGGCAAGGTGAGAAATAATTATCCCGTAATTACCGTGGCCAGAGAAGCCAAGCAGGAAACAAAGTGATCCATAGAAAAAAATTCAGTTCTCTCTCCTTTTCTGTCTCCAGGACATAATGAGGTTTCTTTCACTTTTTCTGAACTTTGCTACTCATTCCCCACAGCCCATTCCAGCCCATCAGAGCCACCACCAAGCGCTGAGCCGGAAAGGCTCCCCAGTGGAGGGCTCTGTACCCACCCTGCCCACCCCATGGGCATCACTCACCCCCTAGCTCATCAGACAGAGCAGGTTTTAACAGGGGAGGAGTGATGAAGCCCGTCGGAAACCGTGGGACCTGCCAGGCTGCCCTCACCATCACAAGGCTCCCCACCAGCGATGAGAATAACTTTTATGCGTTCACAGCCAGCACCCTCCCCTCTAGCTATGGGTCTAAAATGCCACTGTATTCCCAACTCATCTGCTCCAAGAAACCTGCTCTGGGTAGGCATCACACGGAGCTCAAACCCCAGACAGTGGATGCAGCCAAGCCGGTGAGCCCCTGCTATTCAGCTCCCCGGGAAGTAAAAGAACAGACTGGAATCAGAAGCCCACCAGGGCTGCCCCAGGCAAACCAAGGAGAAGGTCTGTCTCTGCCCCCTAGAACCAGACAGAGCAACCCCTGGCCATCCTTCACTGGCCAGTGCTACCCACGCCCGACCCCACTGGACAATGGGGGCTCCTGGTGGTGCCCGTTTTCCCAAGTATGCTGGGACTCTGGGGAGGAGATGGCCCCCAGACTGCCCGGCTGGGTTTGACTGTGAGACCTCAGCACATGTTCCAGGCGTTGCCCCAGAGCTTCATCCATTAGTTGCCTGGATCTGGCCACTTGCCCACCTTTTGTGTCCTGCCAGACTTTTTCAGCACCAGTGGAGAACCACATTACTCAGGTGCCCTGGTGAGGCCCACAGAGAAGGAGAAGGTCATGGGGCAGGGTCGGGGGAAGCCACCTGCTATGTGGTGGCTAGATCCTGAGTCCCCAGCCCACAGGCTGGGGTCACCTCCCAACACCCACCCCTTAGTCTGTGCCTGGAGGAGCGGTTTCCTCTCCATTCTGGCCTCTTCTTGGCTATCAGAGCTTCTCAGTTCATACCAGGAAGCTGATCATTCAGCTCAAGTGCACACTAGGTGACCACACTCAGTACAAACACTCCCAAGCGGAAATGTCCAGGGCTGCGAGGCTCCCACACACATCACTCATCCGGGCGGGAGCCTCTCTTGATTCTCAAGTCAGCACAAACTAGAACCTGTGACTCATCAGGGAGGGAGAAGGCCCGTCTAGCTCCCCAGCAGGCAGGATCGCTGGCTGCCTGGCCCAAGGGCATGTGTGCACCTGCACGCCACAGGTGCCCGGGCTCCCGCCTCACTGAAGTCTCCCGCAGCTACAGCCAGGGTCAGGGCAGGAGGGAGCCGGGAGCCACGCGCTGCCACCAGAGAGCCCGCCTGGCCTGGCGGACGTCACTGCTGCCAGATGGCTGGCGCTGACATTCCACATTACGTACCCATTCCTCTGGCATTAAGGGCTTAGGGGCCCATCCCGATGAAAGGCGAGCACCCTGGGGAGGAGGGATGCAATAGCTGCCCCTCGTCTCCCTCAGGGCGTTAACAAGTTCCTAACATCTCCCCTCAGCCAGCTATCACTAGTCAGAAACATCGAATTCAGTGACTGGCTTTTTTCCCATTTCGTTTTTAATGTGAATTTATTTCTAGGTCCCCCAGAGTGAGGCTGGGGTCCACTCCCCCAGCTCTCCCACACACCCTATAGCTGGTGATCAAGATAAAGCCTGGTGTGGTTAAAATTTCAGTCAGGTCCTGAGATTCACAGCAG